AAAATCTAAGCAATTTAGACTGATTAGGAAAAGGAACAGTTCAACCAAAAGTTAACATTTGCTGTAGGTTAAAATCCAAGATTTAGAGGAGTTTGTTTCTTCATCAGATTTGGAGAAATGTAGCATTCCATCACTTCCTCACCAATGGATCCTCTGCAGTGAATGGGTGCCGTCAGAATGAGAGTCCAAACAGATGATAAAAACATCACAATAATCCACAAGTAATCCACACCACTCCAGTCCATCAGTTAACAGCTTGTGAAGTGAAAATTTGCATTTGAAAGAAAGAAATCCATAATTTTAATGTTTCTAACTTCAAACCATTATTTCTAGCTAAAAGAGTCCATAATGCTTTCTCCAGTCTTCTGAATCAGGAGAGAATTATGCACAAATCAAGCACTGTTTACAAGCAAAAACTGGATTATGGACTATTTTAGCCAAAAGCAACGGCTTGAAGTTAAAATCTCTAAAATCTCTCTCGAGATTTGTTAGTTACGGATTTGCGTTACTCTCATTCTGACGGCACCCATTCACTGCACAGGATTCATTGGTAAGCAAGTGATGTAATGATACATTTCTCCAAATCTTTTCTGATAAAGAAACAAACTCATCTACACCTTGAACAGCCTGAAGGTGAGGACATTTTCAGCAAATTGTAATTTTTGAGGTGAACTATTCCTTTAATGTAATGGAGAATTTTTTTTTCTGCATTAGTATATAAAAACCGCCTCAATGATCAACAAGTACCAGCAATTATTATTTAATAATCAACTACTTATGAAAATAATGATGATGAAATGACATTCTTTTATAATAGGTCACATACACAATGCAAAGTTTTGAGACTGACAAGCGCATTTAAGCGCAGGAATGTATTCATTAAATGACAGTTCTCTAAGTGTATTTATACAATTTAATTAGATATAACCATAACAACACAGCACCTCACTGCTGTAACCAAGAAACATGGATTCCAACAGTCTATGATTGGTGTAAGCTAAAAATTTAAGTACTAATGCATTATAAAAAAATCAAATGAGATGAAGTCTAGATTATCAAACACACATTAAGACATGGTTAAATAATATATAAAACATGCCAGCGACAAATTTTCAGCAAAAACAACTATTTGATATAAAATACTGATATAAAATATCTGGCATCATGTTATGAGAATTTCTTCATACTGCCTCTAGGTTTGAGGTTACAAAATATTTACAACATCATTGTTATTTGTATTTACCACATGAAAGCCTGTTAAATAATCATTCTTCTTTAGTTTGTCAGATTAAAGTTTTTCTTTCAATCAAAGCAAAAGTTGTTTCTGAAGGGTTAATCGCCTCACCTGGTTTTGTAGCGTGCAGCACTCCCTTAATTCAAACACCACACCTTAATCTACATGACTGCAGTTAGCAACCATAGCCGCAATTATTTCACAACAGCTGAGAAATTATTCCACAGGGTGATGGCAAAACTTCACTGCATCAAATACTTCCTCTTTACAGGCAAAACACACACCGCCAGACACATAGAAAACCTCTTTACGCATGCAAACTGTACTAACAACAAATAGAGAAATCCTTACGTTACACACAGCCACCCAAAACCATTTTCTAAACAACCGAAGAAAACCAGTGAAAACCATAAGCTTGCCTAAGGGAGAAAACAAGTTATGACCTAATACGCTGTGCACTTTCACTGTCAAAATGTGTCATCTGAAAGTAGAACTCAGTGAATCGCCAGCATTAAACCAAAACACTAAAAGCATGTTCCTGGATAGTACAGGCGGAGTGGAATATGTTCTGCTGCTTTCAACAGGATTATTTTACACTTTCATTCACACACGACTCTGTGAAAGGAGAGCCACACTAATGCATGTACCTGGCAGCTAAAACCTCAGACATCCAATTTCACAAACCAGACCAGAATTAAGAGCCGTCATAGGGCCTTTCGCACCGCGGGAACCTTTTCATAGTACCAGAACTAATTGTGGAACTACCCACTTTTCGGCGTGTTCGCACCGCCGGAATCCAACCCTTTAAATGGTACTGGAAAATAGTTCGTGCAAAATCGTCCCAGTACTTTAGTACCGTACGTTTAGTTCTGGAACTAAAGCGGTGCGAAAAGGCCTATTTTCAGCATCAACACACGGAGCAAAGAAATGCCACAGCAATATTTTACTTCCATTTACCACAGCAGTGTTATGTGAGATAGTCTCAAACAGTTCATCTGTTGCTGTCAAAATGCTCTGTCACCTTTCACAAGAGATGTTATGGGTCAATATGACAGTGACAGAGACTGCATGGTAATGGTAAACGATCACGTCTTATCTGTCCAATGCCACATAAACATCACTCTGTAGATCAGAGATGCCCAATCCTTTGGCCTTTGATTTGGCACGCCATACCATAATCACAGGGGAGGGGGAGCAAGCCATTAATATTAATTTGATTGTTTTATTTTAACATGAATTTTTGATTTATTTTTGCATTGAAATGCAGAGAATATAAATTAATTTTGTTTACAAATACATTATAATGTAAAACAATTTGCTAATTTTAGCCTATACATATACTACACAGTGGCCCAAAATATCTGGACACTGAAGTAGAGGTCGGCCGATTACTGGCATTTTTTAATGAATCGGCATCGGCCGATTGTGCTGCAAATTAGGCCGATTTATAGACAGGCGCATCTGCGGGCAGCTAAGCGTTGTTGCGGAATGCCGTACCGAGAATCTCTCTCTGGCAGCATGAGCAGCTCACACTCTGCAGCCGCGGTTTGTTCACACACAGCTTCAGCTAATGATGGCAGGGCAAAACAGACCGTTTTGAAAGCGTAGTTACGTTTTACCCTACCAGAATTGATGCCGACCATGCTTATCATATTCATAAGTGCAACAAGTCATTTGCATGTGAAAGTTGAAATACGTGCATTTCAGACGAAACTTCTGGTCTGACTATAACGTGCATGTTACCTTTCCTCATGAAATGTGTCTGTGGGTCTGATAATAGCCTCCACGATGATGAGTGAACTTTTATTTTTATCATCACTTAGATTATGGCCATTTGACTTATAGCAGTGTCCAGTTTTTCCCATACATTTAGTTATTTGTGGCGGCTCGTCACAATATCAAAACTGACCGCCACAAATAGATTTTCCAAAAGGCTTATACTTCCTTGAATAAACTGAGCACAGCACGTTTCAAAATTAAAATGCAGCGCGGGTGTTTTTATATGAATGTATATGTGAAAAGAACCGACCGTCTTCAGAAAAGCTTTGATGTCATTTTAATTTCGTCTTTCCTGCAATGCCTGATAAAGTAGCGTTTGTGAGCGCAGCGCTGATTTGATTACAGCCGTTACTGGGGAAACCGATATATCGCTGCTCCAACAGCGCCTCCTGCTGGCAGAGGATCAATTTGCATTTGCAAGTCTGTGGGAAACACTGGTGTCTGTCAGCAAACATAAACATAAAGCATGCTTCAGAACAGTTTTGAGAAGGTGCTTAAGTTGTGAGCCATGTATTATTACTATGAATTAAGCTACTACTATCTTGTACCCTGATGAAGGGGGAAAAAGAAAATCGCCCAAACATATCGGCATCACATATCGGCCACCGGCTGCCCTGATTCCTAAATATCGGCATCGTCCAGAGAAAAACCCATATCGGTTGACCTCTACACTCAAGCCACACTTAGACCTAATGCATGAATCTCACTGCATAAAATAAAGTTTTAAACCAAGCATAATTTATTTACATGAAATATAGTACAAGCATGCTTTATGTCAGTAGTTCTCAACCAAGGGCCCTGGACTCAACAGAGGTTCTCAGTAAACTTCCAAGCGTGATTTAAAAGTACTCAATTACTTAATTTAATATTATTGAAACAATTAATTATAATATATATATATATATATATATATATAAAAAAATAAATAAAATAATCTTACTTACGTTAAATGCTAAAACATATACATAAAATAAAAAAGCATTTCCCCCCTTGATAATTATTGTTTCTGTTTGTCTCTCAGTTTGTTTATTAAAATAATGAACTTAAAACAATCCGCTTTGTCATAATTATAGTAGTAAATTTTTTATATCTGTCAACAATCAGTTATCAGTCAAAACACTAGCAGCTATACACCTGTAAAAAAAATTGACAACATAAATTCATTCAAATGAACCAAAACACCCGCTATCAAATACAGTCTCTTTTAAATTTTAATTTAACCATTTAAATTTTAAAAATGTGACTTCAAAATGTTCAAATGAATTTAAATGTTTTGTTCACGAGAACACATTTCTTAACACTTCTCCTAGATTTGAAGTATTTCTTTCTGAGTTTTCCCATACTGTAAAATCTCCTAACTCATAAATAATAATTTTCTTAAGGACTATGATCTTACCTTTCTTGCTGATTGTGGTGTACTTTATGTATCTGTTTGTCATTTTACATAAAACTACTAATTTAAAAAGAAAGATGATTGCACACAGACTGAAGTAGTTTAAGTCTTTGGTTCTTTTAATTGTGATGATTTTGGCTCACATTTCACAAAAACCCACCAATTCACTATCTCAACAAATTAGAATACTTCATAAGACCAATAAAAAAAATTTTTTTAGTGAAATGTTGGCCTTCTGGAAAGTATGTTCATTTACTGTACATGTACTCAATACTTGGTAGGGCCTCCTTTTACATGAATTACTGCATCAGTGCGGCGTGGCATGGAGACAATCAGCCTGTGGCACTGCTGAGGTGGTATGGAAGCCCAGGTTGCTTTGATAGCGGCCTTCAGGTCATCTGCATTGTTGGGTCTGGTGTCTCATCTTCCTCTTGACAATTCCCCATAGATTCTCTATGGGGTTCAGGTCAGGCGAGTTTGCTGTAAATCAAGACAGCTCAAGGTGCATTTTTAATTTGCATGTCAAACAAGCAGGTGACTTAAAGCCAAACTGACCTGTTCTGTCTGCCAAGAGAGCTACAACACCTGACTTACCTTTCCCGTCTTGTGGTCGAACCACACCAGAGCGTGATTCCTGGACAACACCTTGCAGTCGAAGGTGGCGTTATTCTGGGCAGGGCGACACCGGGCCACGGAGCGCCCGATCTTGACCGGCTCATCCAGGTAGACATGACGTTCCTGAAACGGGTGTGAATTCGGGCGACAGGTAAACACGGCCAGCGCTGAAGGCATTGAGGATGGCTTGGGAGTGCTACTCCAACCAGAGACGAAAGACAGGGTTTCTTGATCCAGACTGGCCCGTTGCTCCAATATCTTAATGAATTAGCAGGTGAACAACGCACATGGCAATACGAAAACTCTAAGAAAAGACGAGGCTCTCCTGCTGACCGACTACATAATAACGTCAAAATGACTAGTTAGACACTATGTTGACAACTTCATGCCCCCTTGCGAGACCCCCATGATGCCAAACCAGCTGCCCAATTCCATACAACTCTGTTTTTTAGATGACAGTCCACAACTTGAGTTGTTACACCTCGTTCCCTACACAATTCATCCTCATCCCCCTTCACAACCATAGGCCTGGCCAAAAATACAAGTCAGTAACGCTATACTAGTAACCTGTTGGACCAGCTAATCTATAACGTTACTCCCCCCCCCCTCAGAAATAAGACTGTGCGCCGTTTGACATGCGCTTCTAGATTAACCTGTCAACGATTTCTATATTAACGGGCACAAAAACACACTAACGCAAATGTTAAACCCTAATGAAGATTAATAACGTGAGTGGGTTTGGCTCAAGTATGCAGGACAGATCACCAAGCCACCACTCCCCAAGACTGATCAGCCTTTCACTATGAAAACAAAAGCTTAATGACCTAATCAACCCGACATTTGCAAGCTTTTAACTGTCAGAATTCATGTAAATTTTACAAACCGCTCCCGCGGAGGCTGCTTTCTTGCGTACCAGAGCGTTAGCTGGCTAACTTCATAATAGCGCGTTAGCTTCGCTGAGGTAACGGTGGCCTTTATCTTCTTCTTATCAAGCCCTCCGGACTGAAAGAGACTTTAGAAATAATTCCGAGTGCATTTATCCAGGAGGAAGAAGTAATTTTTTCGTCTGTGCAACTTTTGTGCGCGGAGAATTTGCGCAAATCCAGTATTAGCTCAGGAGCCCGATACCTAGCTTAGCTCCTCGCTGAGGGACGCGGTAAATTCTCCAGAAAAGAAACTCGCAAACGAATAAAGTCCGTGACACGGTCCCGCGGTAAGCCGTGGAGGTCTCCGCTCCCGAGGACACTGACAACGCGAGGAAAAATCGTTGTGTGCGAGAGGATAATTGGAAGTAAGTCGTCCTCCTGAAGAAATACACACACACACACACACACACACCGGCCACAAACCACCGCTAAACTCGCGCACCGCTGAGAAAGGGGCGGGGACTCCACCGTGACGCGCTAAAGGGGGCGGGGCTACGGTGTGGACGAATTGCGTTTCCAGAGAAAAAGGTGACGTTTTTCATATGGAATGAAAATAGATGGACAAAGAAAGATATACATATCTATGGGTATGGAGGCCCAAACATCCAGATTTTTTAATAAGTAAGTCAATAAATGAATATACAAATAAATACATATAAAAATAAAAAAATCGAAAAAATGACTTTTAATGATAATAATAAAAATGATTGAATTTTTATTTGAATTCAGTCCTGCATTAATTTTTTTATTACTTTTTCACTTTATTTAATAATGCATTTATTTTAAAAATTAGATTACACTTTATTTTAAGGTGTCCTTGTTACAGTGTAATTAAACATATAAGTACTGAGTGATATTAATTAACTACATGTACTTACTATATGATTTGGGTTAGAATTAGGATTTGGTTTAGGGTTACTTGCACGTAATTATGCATAATTTATTGTTATTATAATACTTAGTGCATGTAACGTGTAACAAGGACACCTTAAAATAAAGTGTTACAAAAAATATTTTGAAATGTTATTACATTTAAATTAATTTGTTGTGTCTTTACTTTTCATTAATTAATTTATTTCCATGTTTGTTTGCTTAAACTTTTTTTTTTTATTGTTACATTTCTATCTCCATATTATATCTTATTATAATGATCACAGCCTTTATGAACATAAGGTAAATTCTAGACCATATTCATGAGGTGCTTGCTGGAATGCCTTTTAAAAACAGCACTGAAGGAGCTCCTTTACTATCTGGTCCAATTTATTCATTTAATTGAAAACCGAAAGATGCCAAACTGGAAGAGTATACTTAATAATCATTGACCAAACCGCTCACTTAGCAAACACAGACAACACAAAACAAATGCATATTGGCAAAATCAAAGCCTTTGGAAGGTGCTTCTAGGCTCCCGGTAAAAGCACAAGTTATTTATGGAGTTCAAAATCATCCCTGGAAAGTATTTTTGTTTCAGAAATGAGGAGAGGGTTTCAAAGCTAACTCCACCCCCTGTCCCTCTGTTTGGACTTGGAATATGTGGACTAAATTACACTGAATATCTGTCATACCAAATGGAGCGTGCTGATTTGACTCTAATGTCTTGCTCAGGCTAATCCAATTGCTTTGTCTTGGTTCTTAATGTGACCCATAAGAAGTAATTAAGTGATCACTGTTGGAACATCTATATGCAAACAATGGTGCGGTTCAGTGATGCCTGTGACTGTATATGACGTTACAGTGCCAGGCCACCATATGAACTCAATTCTGCTCTGTTCATTTGATTTAAAATAGACAACAGATTCTAACATGTTATTATTTTCAACAAGTGTGCCACAGAAATGTACAACTACAATAGTCTTAAGCTGAAACCAAACCACATTTGACCTAAAAATGATATTATCGGATGAAATAAATGACATTAAATATAATCATGCAAAGATGGAATTCGGAAAGGATTATAAGGTTTTTCTCAGTTTCATACATTCTATACTATAATTAGCTATAATCAGAATTTATGTTTATTCGCCAAATTACACTAAGCAATTAGCCTTGGGGGTTGCTAAAAAAAAAAATATATATATATATATATATACATATAAATATATAAAATATGTAGTCCTTTTGTCAGTTAGCTCTATTAATTATTATTATTTACAACATTATTAACAACAGAAAAAAGTAAAAAATGTTGGTGCTATTAAAAAGGTATATATTTTCTGTTTAGTTTTTTTATTTGTTCCTTAAGGCTTGTAAGAAATGTAAGTAATTTAAATGTAAGAAATGTAGTTTGCAAAGAGCATACTTTTTTCATGTATATGGTGTTTTTGTAATAATATAAATAACTGCATAGTGTAGCCTATTGTTCTTTACATTACAAAAAAAGTCATTCTGAAAATAAAAAAAGCACATCACATTTTTACCATTCGAACTCATCAACCTAGTAAATAAATACAAGAGGCACCGTGGCTGCGTGCGCGCTCCCGTAAAAATCTTGACCTCACGTATGACGTCAGCACGCTGTTGACGCAAGCCCCGCCCCTTTCGCCCTGGCCGTGTTTGTATTTACAGCTCAAGCTCCTCCAGCTTTCAGCAATAAACCGAGTCCGATCACTCATGGACCGAACGGAGGGTGTCACCATGGCCTTTCATGGGTCTGAGGGACTGGAAGAACAGCTCGAGGAGCCGGAGGATACTCTGAGAGTTTCTCCGGCGGAGGAGATGCCCGTCGATGGGCCTCCAGCGGTAGAGGAGCCGCTACTGCTGCCGTGGGACCGCTTCTCCTCCTGGCTCCACTGCATCTGTGTGGTCGGCTTCGATCTGGAGCTCGGGCAAGCTGTGGAGGTACAGCACACTGTCGTATTAATACTATTTAAATCATAGTGTCTGTTTAGTTGTCATCTGTGAGTTGGCCTGCTAGCCGGCTAACTGTGTGGAAGTCAATGGAAACCTGCTAGCATCAGTGGCTAACAAAAATAATTGAGTCATCAAAAATTATATATATATATATATATATATATATATATATATATATATACACACACACACACACACAAACACACAGCCGGCTAGCCGTCGCATAGATGGGAACTTAGTTATTTTATTGTATCATTTTTTTAAACTATATATATACACACACACAAACACACAGCCGGCTAGCCGTCGCATAGATGGGAACTTAGTTATTTTATTGTATCATTTTTTTAAACGATTTTGCTACTTTTTATTTTATTGCAATTTACTGTAATTGCAGTTTTATGGTACAGCAGGACATTAGAGCAGTGCAAGCAGTTCAGTGGTGCATGTTACTGTGTCTGATCTTTTATGTTGTGATCAATATGTCTGAAAGCTTTCAGTGACAGTAGCTATGAAATATTTGTGCATAAAAAAATATTTTCATCCATGTGTTTGATTGTGGAATGCAATAAAAAAAAAAACTAAACTTTTTCAAAACAAATTCTGCTGCAGGTGATTTACCCACACCACTCCAAACTCACTGAAAAAGAGGTAACTGTTGTTTTACATTATCCTGCTAGTTTCAACCATGGCTTTAGATGGTCAGTTTTAAAATATTTAGTGGTTTCTTTGTTTTTCTCATTTCAGAAAACAAGTATATGCTATCTGTCATTCCCGGACTCCAATTCAGGTAAACTGCATTTCCTCACTATAATTAATTTTTAAGGTTTTATGGTTCTTCCTGTATCTGTTGTAAATAATAAACAGTTGATGCACAGATGTTTGTCAGCTGTAGATTTAAACCTGCATAGCCTAAACTTTTAGCATTTTTGACTCCTAAAAGTTTAGTCTTAGATCACACAGTCACGGTAAGCTGAAAGCTAATGGAGAGTAATTTATTCAGTGATCATGTCAGAAGCATTTTTCAGAGTGATCATTAATGTATTTTAGAAGCCTGACATAAATTTTAATCACTTTTAATATTGTATGTGAGTATTATTAGTGCTCAAAGTGTCTGTTTTGTGATTAAGCAGTGCAGTCGTAGTGTATTTTCCTGCGGTTAAGGTTTGATTTAGAGCACTGTAATTCATCTGAGTGAGTACTTTGACCTGTGTGTCTTACGCTAATGTGTGTGGGATGAGAGTTCGACATCTCCCTCCAGCAACACTACATGCATATTCAGAAAGAAACTCGCAGTGTGGGTTGTGGAGTCTCTGACTCTTCTGTATTAGCGATATTAATGGGCCGTCACTGACTGAGTAGGTCAATATCTATGATTGCACACTTGTAGTTGCTTCGTAACAGTGTGTGTTCTGATGTAAATGTATCATGTGAGTTTGTTTCTTCATGGGAACAGATTTGGAGAAATGTAGCATTGCATCACTTGCTCACCAGTGGATCCTCTGCAGTGAATGGGTGCCGTCAGAATCACATGCATATTCAGAAAGAAACTCGCAGTGTGGGTTGTGGAGTCTCTGACTCTTCTGTATTAGAGATATTAATGGGCCGTCACTGACTGAGTAGGTCAATATCTATGATTGCACACTTGTAGTTGCTTCGTAACAGTGTGTGTTCTGATGTAAAAGTATCATGTGAGTTTGTTTCTTCTTGGGAACATATTTTGAGAAATGTAGCATTGCATCACTTGCTCACCAGTGGATCCTCTGCAGTGAATGGGTGCCGTCAGAATGAGAGTCCAAACAGCTGATAAAAACATCACAATAATCCACAGCACTCCAGAATAAAGAGTTCGGCTGAATGGATTCGAAAACGGTAAAACTCAACTGTTTAACTCTAGGGGAGTTGAAAAATTAGCCTATTTTAAAAAATAGTGGAGTGTTCCTTTAATGGCATCCATTAACCTCGGTAAAGTCACAGTGTTGCAGTGATTTTCATTTATTTTCATTTAATTTTTTTATTTTATTTTTTGGGCTTAATACACAGATGAGACATTCTGCGCTTACAGGATATCCTGTTGTAAATGGTCTGTTTTAAAGATATTGTAACCTGCTAACCAAACCTGACTCGCCCTTTTTCTAGAGGACATCGGGTTCTCATAGCTCATGATTCTTGTTGCAGTGATTCGCCCAAGTTATCGCCATTGTGCTGTTTTGAAAAAGCCTCTCATCTCTGTCATCAGTTTCGCTGTTTTCCTCATGGAGGTCCGGAGTCAGATGCCGTGCATATGGATATTTGTGGCGTGCGTTAGTGTCTTCTCTCGCATGCTGTGGGTGAGGTGACCCACTCATGGTGGGAAAAGCATGCGGGTTGCTGTGGCAACAGAGTTCCTGCCACCCCATGCGATGTGAAGAAGTGCGTCTGTTGTGACATATTACGTGCCATTCGCTCTCTCTCAGCAGCAATGCAGCCAACTGTGCATTTGTTTCAGTTGTGTTCAGTAAATCTGTGAACGTCTTACTCAGAATGATGGGGGAGAATTCATGTATGAAGTGCACGGCTTGTTACACACTGAAAAAATATGGTATAGAAACGATTTTCACTCAGAAATTGCTGGTAAAGTTCACAGATAATTACAAAGAATCAGCAAGTAACACACTGAATTAAACTTGACATTTTGAAATGTGGTTTTCTTGTAAAACGTACTACAAAAATCAATAACTTCATGAAAAATGATTTTTACAGTGTAGAAAGCTGCAAGTACATTCTATTGGAGCTTGTAGTGGGAATATTAATACTTTAATTATGAATCAATTATAAAATTGTCAATGGCAGTATTTGAATAAACATTGAAATGTTAATGGCTGACATCACAAGCTTGACTATTTTGTACTTTACAGAAAAATGTAATTTTTTTTAGAAGAACTGATATTTTAAAATGTCTCCCTGTAAAAAAATATTTGTCACATAGTTATTTTAGTAGCTTTGACATACTAACATAGTTTTATTAATATTTTGAATCGGTTTTTATTTCTATGGCTTTGGCTTTCATTTCCATTTTAGCTTGTTTTAGTGTGCTTTTGTCATTTTTAGTGTTTTTAATATATATATATATATATATATATATATATATATATGTATATATAGTTTTTATAAATTTTTTGTTTTAGTTATTTTAGCACAAAGTTAAACTAAATTAAAATGAGAAATGTTGTTGCAACTAGCTGAAATTTAAATATTTTCTTTATTTTATTTAATGTTTATTTTATTTCAAGTCACTTTTTTTTGTATGTTTTAATTTTAGATTCTGTTTTAGTTAACTATAATAACCCTGATTGGTCAACAAATGTATTTCTCTATCTTCAGTGTTTTCAATGATAAGGCCCTTTTAATTATTATCTTGTAAATGTAAATGTTGACGTCACAGCCATGAATATTTTTCAACAAGCCATTTTGCGCTATAATTTTCTTTACAGAAAAATGGCGTACATTTTGGTAGACCTGATATATAAAAAACATTTTTTAACTAGAAATATGTGCATCTATGTAAAAAAAAAAAAAAAAAAAAGTCAACCTATTATTCATCTGTCTTTAGTGTTGTCCATGATAATGCCCCTTTAATTATCATCTTGCATGTAGTCCTAGTTATTGATTAAAGCGTAATTATTAAATTATTGTTCTGATCATCTTGTGTTTGATTATTTAATGGTTTTCTAGATACAGGACGTAACGAGCATGTATCTGGACGATGTTCGTTCAGCAGGATTATTCTGTAAATGTTGTGTAAACGCTGCTTTTTATAGACTCCCGTGGTGTTGAGGAAAGGGTTAGCCGAGAGCGTGAGCTAATCCATCCGTCACAGCCCGTAGAGAGAGCCAGTAATCTGGTTTCACACTCGCACAAACCACCTTCCTTGTTCCTTGTGGCCCACACACATCACTGTGTGCAGAAAAGACCGAAATAGAGACTAGGACAAACACGGTTGTCCTAGTCTGAACCGGAACAGTCCGTCCGTCCTGAAGACATCAGAAGTGATGTAGGAGTCAGTGCTTCTGTTGCTTATTCATCTCCAGATGGTTACTTAACTTATGGATTTTCCATCTGTGTTGAATTTTTTGTGGATGTCATATCCATGTTACACTGCATACAGATTTTTTTAATATAAAATTTTATAATATTTTATTATATCATTATTTTATTTATTTATTATTTGAGGTCTGAAGCTTAGTGTTAAGAGTTAGAGTTAATATTTAGTTTTATTATAAATAATATATGCATAATATATGCAATAATGCATTTTATTGTTGTTATTTATTATTTTTGTATTTTTATTTTTTTTTACATCTGAAGGTTGGTGTTATTCTGTGATTTTACTGAGAGTTTAAATTATTATATTTTATTTTATTATTAATAATATAATACATATTACTGTTATATATTATTTTGTATTTTATTTAATTTTGTATTTCTTTTAGACCTGAAGCTTTAATGTTGTTGTGAGTTATATTTTAGTATTAATAATATATTTTATATGCTATTCTATATTATTTATTATTTTGTATTTGTTTTGATTTATTTATTTTAAAACTTTTTTTTTTTTTTTAATATGTGGAACTTTGTGTTATTCATAGTGATTCACTGAGAGTTCATGTAGTAATTATAAATGTTTTAAGACCCCATGACATCAAAATTGACTTTTTCTAATGTTGTAGTATTGTTTTTGTTTTTTTTAAGAATGTGTTGGTTTTGAGTAGGTTTTTGGTGTTGTTTTTGTGTTGTGGCAAAAAAAAAGTTGAAATACAAATGTTAAGTTGACTTACGCATTTTAAATGTAATATATTTTCTGAAATATTGGAAATATTCATGGTAATGGAAAAGAAAAATTGTCATCACAACTAAATTCAAAGTGCCTTGATTGATTTCAAGTGTGGTTTTGCTGTGCTGTGATGTAAACTAAAGCCTCTTGGCTATTTTGAAACGCAAAAGCACACCAATTTGGTACCGTGGCCTTTATTTCTGAGAGATGATGCAGAATGGACTGATTTGGCAGCTTAAATATTGTGGCTGAAGTCAGATTTGTTTTGGAAAAAAAACAAGCACATCAGATGAAGACATGGTTTCAATAAAATGTCCTTGATTCAGCCGGTGCACGTTTGCACTGCGTAGTTTTGCAGATAAATGTCAGTGTTTGTGCCTCTGCTCACAGGTTGTCTCGGGGACACACAGTTCTGCTTCCGTTTCCGGCAGGCCACAGGCAGGAAGTCGTCACTCGGATGTTTCCTCGACCACTTCGACCGGGATGCGCCGGTCTGTCTCAAGGTCAGTGCTGAGGACATCAACTCATAAGTCATAACTCAGCCTGTTAATGAAGTAAAGACTGCCCTACACTGAGATACTTCTGCAAATAATCTGTTACGTGTCATTATTACTAATATGAAATGTGCTTGTTTTCTTCTTTCCACAGAGAGATCAGGGCTATTACTACGGGTATGTGTACTTCAGACAGGTGCGAGACAAGTCGCTCAAAAGAGGCTACTTTCAGAAGGTACGACCATGACGATTTATTCCTCACATGAACCTGAAGTCTCATGTTGATCGGAGAGGTGATGAATTTAAAGTGACATCTGCTATTTGTTATAACATGCACGTCACTTCTGGCGGTGCGACAAATGATTCCAGTGAATAATTTTATGTCTCATCCACCCAAGAGCTAATTCCTGGCCTTTAGTGCATATTATAACTTATACAGCATTGGCTACATGTATACTGCAGCTAAATTCAGTTGCTTAAAGGGAAAGTTCACCCAAAATTTAAAATTCTGACATCATTTACTCAACTTCAAGTTGTGTGAATTTCATTCTTCTGCTGAACACAGAAGAAGATATTTTGAAGAGCGTGGGTAAGCAAACAGTTGTTGGTCCCCATTGACTTCCGTCGTATAGAATTTTTTTTTTTAGCTGAAACCGTGGTCCTTAGTGATTCATGAAATCCAAGTGAACAGCTGAGATTCAAAAAAGCAGATCAAAGAACACAAAATTAATATCCATGTCTCCTGACGATATATTGAGTTCTTATGAAGCAAAACGATCATTCTGTGCAAGAAACTGAACATTATTTACAACATTATGACCTGTAATGCAGAGCCTCAGGCAAACAAATCATTCACGAGCGAATCATCCTTTTGAACTGGTTATTTTTAGTGAACTGGATGAACCAGTTCACCAAATCAAACTGAACCGTCTGAAACGGTTCACGGTTCAAGCAGCACAGATCTACAAGTAACTCAACCAAAACTCACTTTCAGACACTTGATAGTGACTTCGACTGGAAATGAGCCGAAATATCAGTGTATATGATCATATAATGAATGAATCATGCAGCGCTCCAGGTCCTCTAACAGTCACTGAACAGAGGACACCGTTTGACTCGGACCGATGAGCCGCTGGTCTGCGCATGTGTCTACTGAACACTTGAATAAAGGAGATAAATGAACATTTGTATGGTTTCTTACGGTTTATGTAAAAAGAGGAGTTGATGAAGACAAGTTTATACACTTTATATACTTTTTGACACATAAAATATCTCTGTTTCACATCATTATTAGGTGCTTTAATAATATCATTGCGTATGCGTTACATCATTGCCTGATTACATAAACAAACTGGTGAATCATTACTTGGATCAGTTAATTGAAACAAACTGTCCGAAAGAACTAGTTTGTGGAGAAGAACCGAATTTCCCAGTTTGCCTGAGGCTCTGGATTAGAGGGAATAATGTTGTAACTAATGTTCATTTTCTTGCACAGACCGATCGTTTCACTTCATAAGACCTTAATATATTGTCAAGAGACATGGGTATTAATTTTTTCTTACCTGTATAAGCTTTTTTTGGACTCTTAAGTGACGGTAACCATTGACTTGCATTTAATGAATCACCAATGACCACAGTTTCAGCTGAAAATCTTTTATACTGTTCTGCTGAAGAAAAAAGTCACTTACATCTTGGATGGCCTGAGGGTGAGTAAATTAACAGCAAATTTTAATTTTTGGGTGAACTATCCCTTTATGACATACAGTATTTAAATACATATCAGAGTTGTGTCTCTCTTCTGTAGGCGTGATGCAAGAAATCAGAGGGAACGAGGTACATCTTGATTCAGCGTTGCCAGATCTTGCTCGAAAATACTGCAAACGCAAACAAGTCCATAATAAAGCTAAACAAAGCCAAATATTGAAAATAAGACCAAATTATTGTGACCTGCTCCTGCTTACTTTATTAACTCGATGAACTGGATTGCTTTGACTCAAAGCAATTAAAGCTCAAAAGCTAAAGGTTTAAGCTCAAACAATAAGCCCAAAGGCGCTTATAATAAATTAACATGGCAACATTTCAAAAGCGTGCCCTTCAAAGCAGCTTTCCCAAACATAAACAAAACAGTCAACGGTGGTGTGGTTAAAATTGCTGAACATAACGAGTCTTTAGTCACTTTAATATTAATTTGGTCGAAAATAGGGGATGGCACAATTTCGGGTGAGTTCTGTTCCATAAACACACAAAATGATCATTTTGGGCATTCACTCTTGTTTTTAAATGTGTGTGTATTTGCCCATTATGTAACTCTGATTGGTCGAGTGGTGTGTTGTAGTGATTTGAGCAAAGTTGAGTGGTGTTTTTAGACAGTAAGGAACTTTAAATGTTTTTTGGCTTTCGTTTGGTTCCCATTTCCTTACATTAAAACTGAAAATCGCCCCCAGCTAAGATCAAGCGCAGCACTGAACAAGTCCCAACAACACTGCATCACCGCAACAGAAGTGTGAGTCTGATCTATCACCAGCGAACGTTGTTCACACCCTAAAAATAGAGGCGGAGATTAGAGGGGAGATCTGGAACTTTTCAAGAGCCTTTAATTCTCGTTATTTTTGAAGACTGCGAGTATTTCGACACCTAAACGCTTTGACACCGGAGCTTTCTGGGGCTTTTGCTGCCCTGCAGCTTCTTATGCAATTCTTGAGGTGATTCACTGCGCTTCAATAAAACGTTGTGGTTTGTGACATGAACGAACACAACCCGGTTTGTTTTCTTTACTAACAGAACCATGTTGCTTACTCTAGTTTCCTTACCACTCCCTACTGGTTTCAGATGCATTTGAGCAAGCATGAAAAATGTAAATTTGGTCATTAACCCTATAAAGCCTACGTATATTTGATGCTTGATAATGATCAACATGATCAAAACTTTTTGAAAAACCTGTTGCACACAATTTTGAGCAATTTTTATTCATTGTATTGCACTGCATTATGTTTTGATCATAAAACTAAGCAGAAATATAATCAACTAAGACATACAGTTTTATTGGGAGATACAGAGTGACAACTGATATTTATATAATTTTATGTAAGTAGTCTGCTATACTGTTATAAAGATCCCATTGATTTACATTACAAGCTTCAGAATTTCATCACTCTTTGGCCATATAAATATCAGCGTCTGCACTGAATTGCATATTTTTGCTTAACTGTTTTTCCTCCATATTCTCACTTATTTCATACTATATGAGCCATAAAAACCTGATGTATCAAATGTGATGCTCAGTAAAAATATATAGGCCAACATTTTGGGGGCTGCCAAGCCCATTCATAAAGGTAATTAATGCACCATGTTTGAATATATGCCAGTGTGAATGGAGATAAAAGGTCATAGCTGAAATATTCCTTTAAGAACCTGTCTGCTGTTTTGGCCTGGATCTTGTGAGGATTTTTGAGCTTCATGACATTTCTCTCATCGTGTGTGCATGTGTGTGTTTCTCTCCTCCAGTCTCTGGTCCTCATCAGCAAGCTGCCCTACGTGACCTTTTTCCACTCTTTGCTAAAGCTCATTGCCCCAGAATACTTTGAGAAACAGGAGCCGTGTTTAGAGGCCGGTGAGTCCTGAAAACATGGACTACAGACTGTAAAACCAACAGTTATGGTGATAACAATTAGAGGTGTTTGATAGAGCAAGCTTCATTACTACTGTGGCTCACATTTAAGGTTAGGAACATTCAATTTCCTTTTCTTATTGGAAAACTCTGGCAACCACATACCAACACTCACTTCCCAGCCATATCATGCCCCTAGCAACCACATAGCAACACACAGAAAAACACCTTGGCAATACATACAGCATGCAATGACTCAGTACCCCTTAGTAACTCCATAGCAACATGCAACAATGACCTCGGAATATCTTAGTTACTGCATAGCAACAAACAACAATGTGGAACAACTTATCAGCCACATAGAAACAAACAACAACTCAGAACACCTTAGCAACCACATAGCAACATAAACTCAGAACACCTTAGCAACCACATAGCGACAAACAACTCGGAACACCTTAGCAACTGCATAGCAATGTGCAACAACAACTCTGAACACCTTAATAACCACAGCAACATGCAACAACAAATCGGAACACCTTAGCAACTGCATAGCAACATGCAACAACAACAACTCAGAACATGTTGCCAACTGCATAGCAACATGAAACAACTCAGAACACCTTAGCTACCCCATAGCAACATGAAACAACTCAGACCACCTTAGCAACTGCGTAGCAACATGCAAAAATGACTCACAGCTCCTTAGCAACTGTGTAACACCTTGCCAACTGCATAGCAACATGTAACAACAACTTCCGAACACCTTAGCAACTACATAACTTAGCAACTGCGTAACACCTTGGCAACTGCGTAGCAACATGTAACAACAACTCAGAAAACCTTAGCAACTGCATAATAACTTAGCAACTGCATAGCAACATGCAACAATGACTCACAACTCCTTAGCAACTGCGTAACACCTTGCCAGCTGCGTAGCAACATGTAACAACAACTCAGAACACCTTAGCAACTACATAACTTAGCAACTGCGTAACACCTTGGCAACTGCGTAGCAACATGTAACAACAACTCAGAAAACCTTAGCAACTGCATAATAACTTAGCAACTGCATAGCAACATGCAACAATGACTCACAACTCCTTAGCAACTGCGTAACACCTTGCCAGCTGCGTAGCAACATGTAACAACAACTCAACACCTTAGCAACTGCGTAACAACATGCAACAATGACTCACACTTCCCTAGCAACTGCGTAACACCTTGCCAACTGCTTAGCAACATGTAACAACTCAGAACACCACACAGCTACTGCATAATTACTTAGCAACTGCGTAAGACCTTAGCAACTGTGTCGCAACATGTAACAAAGAGCTCAGAATTTCTTAGTAACTACATAGCAATATTCCTCCATTATAAAATTGTATGTTCTATATATAATGTTGCCTAATCTTGTTTTTTGCTGAAATCTATGTATTGATGGTATTGAATTGATGTCGCTTTGGAAAAAGCATCTGCTAAATGACTAAATGTAAATGATGAATGTGTTTTTGCGTTGAAGCGTGTAATGACATTGACCGCTGGCCCACGCCGTGTCCGGGGAAGATCCTCACACTCCCCATCATGGGTGTGGTCATGAAGGTAACTGCTATTTTCTTTCTTTGTTAGATATCGGGTCAGTGTGTGAATATCCATAGCACTTCATTAACGGCTGCTGTGGTCTGTTCTTCTCAGCTGCGCATCCCCACATGTTACGACAAGCCTGGAACGTCTCAGCTCGTTCAGTCCACGCCGGTATGAACCGCATGCTGCTGATGTGTCATGTTCACTGGGGTCACATCAGTTTTGCTCTCATGTAATGAGTCTAATCTTTCATTCACAGAGCGACAGTCTGGTGTCCATCATTCTGCCCACCGTCCATGAAGTGGATCTTTTCAGGTAAAGCATGTTTATTGTGTGCTAGTGTGACTGGTACATATTGTACTATATGTCATAGTTGGGCTGCATTTCTTTATTGCTTGTCCTCTGGGGCCTCCTGTTGGTGGCTGAGAAAAGTTGTTCACATAAACTAGTCTCTTCTGCTCACCAAGGCTGCATTTATTTAATCAAAAATACAGTAAAAACAGTAATATTGTGGAATTTTTTTTTACAATTTAATAAAAGTGTTTTCTATGAGAATATGTTTTAAAATGTAATTTATTTCTGTGATCAAATCTGTATTTTCAACATCATTACTCCAGTCTTCAGTGTCACATGTTCCTTCATGTAGAAATCATTCTAATATGCTGATTTGCTGCTCAAGAAACATTTCTGATTATAATCAAAGCTGAAAACAGTTGTGCTGCTTCATATTTTGTGCACATCGTGACACTTTTTGTTTATTAGGATTCTTTGATGAATAGAAAGTTAAAAAGAGCAACATTTATTTGAAATAAATATTTTATATAACATTTTAAATGTCTTAATGTTTGATCGAATTAATGCACAAAAGCATTAATTTCAATCTCAAACTTTTGAACTTTAGTGTATTGGTCATAAATTGTTTACTACGACTCCAAATTTCCTCCAAATTGTCTCCAAATTTCACATATTATGATGTTGAGAAAAACAAAACCTGTTCATTTCCATTTTCCATGATGTTTTCATTGTTTCTTATGTTGCAGGTGTTTCCATCCAGTGTTTTTTCATATTCAGATGTTATGGGAGCTCGTGTTGCTCGGTGAAGCGTTGGTGGTCATGGCTCCTTCACCGGCAGAATCTTCAGACACTGTGTTGGCATTGGTCAGGTACAGCTAATAATAATAATAATAATAATAATAATAATAATAATAAAATATTAAGCCATAAGAGGTGGTGTTATAGTGATTTTAACTCTTAACTGTTAAAATCACTGTAACGTGTGGCCTCTTCTAGCTGGCGTTTATAAAACAGCGCTTTGATTTTGAATAAATAATCACTATTGATAATTAATGGAGTAAGTAGGATTATTCTATATAACTAACATCATAAAAAATATTTTCTTTACTTGAAATAAACTTTGAAATTTAAAAAATAAAAACTAGTAACATTTCTCGTTTTAATTTAGTTTAAATTGATGCACTAAAATTGAAAAAAGTTTTAAAAAGATATAATTAAATTAAATGAAAGAATAAAAATGACAAAAACAACTAAATTACAAAAAATATATAATATATACGCATTAAAAAACTGATTCAAAATATTAATAAAGCTAAAAAAACTAAACAAAATAGTATATCATTGATACTAAAGTAACACTAGGAATGCATCATTATTGTGTTTATATGGTATAAAATGCTATTGATGTGCTGTTTTACAATCCATCCAGTCATTTTTTTTTTTTCTTCTTAAGATTCCTTAAGATGTCATTTGAAATGATCACAGCTCTGTATGCCTGCAGCAGTCTAGTATTTGATATGACACTAAATGTTTGCCTTGCGTTGTTGATGATTTTACTCTGCATTAAAAATAATGCAGGATGAAACTTGTTTCTTTTATATTATCAACATCATGTTTCTCTCTGATTGCACATGAGATGTTTTTAGAAATGCAAGCTGGCGAGTGAACTCTAGATGTGCACAGAATTCAAACAACCGTCATTCATCAGTTCTTCCTTTGTGTGTTTATTCAATTTGAATAATTGGATAATGCTGTCAGCTGATAATAGAAGTATATTGCATTTTAACGCAATTCTCTTATTTAAATCCATTCCAAAGAATTCTGCAGATTTTTCCTTCAGAAATTGTGCAGATTCATTGAGCGTCCAAGCACATGGGGTTCAATGCAGTACTTAGCAGACTCTGTTTCTGAAAGCTGAATGCTTCCAGAGTCACATGCTGTGGTCGACCTTGAAGAAGGGCAGCTAGATAAGTCTGAAGTCACGTGATGTGTGTGATATAGAGACTCCAGAGACACTGTTACGCACCACACATACTCGGTGTTTAACGTGAGCAGAATATTCTTGACCAATAAAAGAGCAGATGCTGAGTTCTAGATCACTTTCTAAAAATCCAACCCCCTCTGTCTCTGTCTCTGCGCAGCTGTATCTCTCCTCTGTGCTACTGCAGTGATTTCCGGCCGTACTTCACCATTCATGATAGTGAGTTTAAGGAATACACCACTCGAACGCAAGCTCCGTAAGTAAACCATGTGTAAAAGATCTCACATGTGTGAAAAAAGAAATTAGATGTGTGAGATTCAGCTCTTTTTCAGTTTATATATATATATATATATTTAGTGCTGTCAAACGAATAATCGCGATTAATCGCATTCTGAAAGCTGAATGCTTCCAGAGTCACATGCTGTGGTCGACCTTGAAGAAGGGCAGCTAGATAAGTCTGAAGTCACGTGATGTGTGTGATATAGAGACTCCAGAGACACTGTTACGCACCACACATACTCGGTGTTTAACGTGAGCAGCATATTCTTGACCAATAAAAGAGCAGATGCTGAGTTCTAGATCACTTTCTAAAAATCCAACCCCCTCTGTCTCTGTCTCTGTCTCTGCGCAGCTGTATCTCTCCTCTGTGCTACTGCAGTGATTTCCGGCCGTACTTCACCATTCATGACAGTGAGTTTAAGGAATACACCACTCGAACGCAAGCTCCGTAAGTAAACCATGTGTAAAAGATCTCACATGTGTGAAAAAAGAAATTAGATGTGTGAGATTCAGCTCTTTTTCAGTTTATATATATATATATATATTTAGTGCTGTCAAACGAATAATCGCGATTAATCGCATCCAAAATAAAAGTTGTTGTTTACATAATATATGTGTTTCTACTCTGTATATTTATTATGTGTATATATAAATACAAACACATGCATGTATATATTTAAGAAAAATTTTATGTTTATATATTAAATATATTTATTTATAATATAAAATATAAGAATATAAATGTATATGCATGTAAATATTTTCAAAATATATACTATATATGTGTGTATTTATATATACATAATAAATATACACAGTACACATATTATGTAAACAAAAACTTTTATTTTGGATGCGGTTAATTGCATCCAAAATAAATAATTTTGGTTGGCCGGCAACTCCTGGGAAGGTTCACCATTGTTCCAAGTTTTTTTTTAACTTGTGGATAATGGCTCTGACCATGGTTTGCTGGAGTCCCAAAGCCTTAGAAATGGCTTCATAACCCTTTCCAGACTGATACATGTCAACTATTTTGTTTCTCATCTGTTCTTGAATTTCTTTAGATCGCTGCATGATGTGTTGCTCTTTAAGCATGCTTCACGTTGTCAGACAGGTTCTATTTAAGTGATTTCTTGATTCAACAGGTCTGGCAGTAATCAGGCCTGAGTGTGGCTAGTGTAATTTTACTCCACTTTCTAAAATAATGTGGTTAATTGCAGTTCTTTCATGATTTAAGAGGAGGGGCAATTAATTTTTCACGTAGGGCCAGGTAGGTTTGGACAGCTTTTTTCCCTTAATAAATGAAATCATCATTTAAAAACTGCATTTTGTATTTACTTGAATTATCTTTGTGTAATATTACAATTTGTTTGATGATTTGAATCTTTTAAGTGTGACAAATATGTAAAAAATGTAAAAAAACAGGAAGGGGGCAAAAACCTTTTCACAGCACTGTATAATAGTTATATAAATTGTTTTAATTATTTATTTATAGTAATTATAATTTATTTATTAATATATTTAATATATTGTATTCAATTATGAAATATTTATTTGATATTCTATTAATAATAAACATAATTATATTAATATAATTTGAGTCCATTTTAGATATACAAATTATATTTTTCCAAAAAGAAAATAAATAAAAACCAGTGAAGCAACAAGGACTGTTCCTGTCCTTATTTTTATATAAAACACACAATATAATAACATTTGTATACTGTAATTGTTTTCATCACATTTATTTATAATAATTATAATTATAATTTCTTTATAAAGACAGGTAATAGACTGTATTAAATATTGAAATATTTAATTATAATAAATGTAATTTATTGTGAAATGACTTAATGGCAAAAATAAATAAATAAAAATCAGCATTTGTTTGAGTGACATAGTTGCTATTTATGTTTAACCTACAATATATTAATGTTTCTAGCAAAGTTAATTGTTTTCATTAAATGTATTTATTTTGCTATAATTTGTATTTATTATTATATTTAATATACAGTATGAAATATTTAAAAATGTATTATAATAATATAATTTAAATGTTTTTTTCAAAAAAAAAATGAAAATAAAAAAACTGCATTTTATTTGAGTGAAGTAACCGAGGGACTATTCATGTTCCTGTAATTTAATTGCTCCTAAAATGTAATTGTTTTCATTAAATATATTCATAATTACAATAATTTAGTTTATTAATATATTTAATATACTGTATTAAATATTTTAATATTTATTTCATTTTATTGTAATAAATGTAATTTATAGTATTATATTTTATTCTAGTATATAATAAAACCATAAATACAGTAGTATGTATTTTAAAGTGTGTAGTAGTGTGTATTTCCTGTGTGTGTGTGTGTGTGTAGACAGTTGTGTAATATTTTGTTTCTCGTTCTTTTGACCTACAAACGCAGCGTGTAATTCAATCAGTGTCACGATTAATGATCGTATGATAGATGAGATGCTGTTCTGTGTTCAGATCGATGGATGAGGATATTTCTGGAGGTCAGACAGGAAGTGTTTGTGACACTCTCACTGGCTTTCTCTCTTAACCGTACGCTGTGTTTTTCTGCAGGCCTTCAGTCATCCTGGGAGTTACCAACCCATTTTTTGCCAAAACTCTCCAGCACTGGCCTCACATCATCCGCATCGGAGACATGAAGCAAGCAGGTTCTGGCCTTTAAATATCATCTAACTGCATGTAGAATTAGACTGTGATGTATTTGAGGAATATTATGACTCTCAAAAGTTTATATTAGAAGTAAATGTGTTAAATTATCATTAAAGATGGTTGTTGGTCATTGAACATGCTTCGTTTTTTATTATAACATCTTACATTTTTTTTAAAGGTGAGATGGCCAAACAAATGAAAGTGAAGAAACTAAAAAATCTAAAGACTTTGGACTCAAAACCTGGTGAGACTTAAAAAAAAAAAAGTTTCTCATTTATTCTGTTTTGTGTTCATACAGGCTTGATTTAGTACTCATAAAATCAGAAGTACCACCAAATCTAGTCTCTTACCGATAAACTCCAAACTGTAAAAGCAAATAAAGAAATAAGACTGAGCGTTTGTTAGAGTATGTGAAGGATTATCGGTGTCGCGTCTGGTCTCAGGTGTCTACACTGCATATAAACCGTTCCTGAACAAAGACGAAGACATTATCAAGCAGCTGCAGAAGGTGAGTGTCTCTCTAGTGTACTATATCGCTGCTAAAACATTCAAGCGCATCTATTAATTCACTATTTTTGCGGTTAACATCAGGGAGTCCAGCAGAAGCGCCCTTCAGCGGCCCAGAATGCAATTCTGCGTCGATATTTCCTGGAGCTCACGCAGAGTTTCATCATACCACTGGTAGGAACATTTCTTCGCATGCAAAATCAATCACACGACGCCGTTTACATGTGCAACAATCCTTATATAATAAATAAGTGGCAAGAAGAGTGGGATACATGTACAAATAATACATTCTATGAAATACATCTGGAAATTTCAAACAGATTTTTAATCTCTTTTAAAACTAGATTTGATCAAGTGGTATTTACCAGACGTCGCATAGGTCATACAAGACTGACTCAATGTATGTTTTGCAAGGTTCCCCTTTCTGTTGAACATATTTTATTGGACTGTTCAGCTTTTAATGTACACGCTGCAAAAAATGCTTTTCTTACTTGGATTTTTTTGTCTTGTTTCCAGTCAAAATATCTAAAACTTCTTAAATCAAGAAGGATTTTCTAGACAAGTACCAATTATTGTCTTGTTTTCAGAAAAAAACATGTCAAAATAAAGTGAGTTTTTGCTTAGAACAAGCAAAATAATCTGCCAATGGGCTAAGCAAAATAATCTTGTTTTTTGTTTGAAATAGGATTATTTTGCTTAGCCCATTGGCAGATTATTTTGCTTGTTCTAAGCAAAAACTCACTTTATTTTGACATGTTTTTTTCTGAAAACAAGACAATAATTTGTACTTGTCTAGAAAAGCCTTCTTGATTTAAGAAGTTTTAGAAAATTTTGGCTGAAAACAAGACAGAAACTAAGCAAGAAAAGCATTTTTTGCAGTGCAGAGAACTCTTTTATGAAGTGAACTCACTTAAAGAGTTATTTAGTCAAATTTTGCCAGGAAAAGTTTTAGAATTGTTATCACGTTAATGTACAAAATCTTGTGTGATCTATAACTTGTGTTTGTTTGTTTGCTGGTTTTTATTGTATTTGTTATATTTGTATTTTTTAAACAGTTTTTGCCATGAAAATCGCTTTTGATGCTGACATGGCATTAAATAAATATATACTACTACTATTACTTTACATGTGCCACAGTGTTAATGTTAACTAATACTGTTAAAATCACTGTTGTTAACTGAAATAAATCTGAAATAAAATAAAATATAAATATTGCATGAAATTGTTTTTTAAAACGTTAACAAAATGTAGTTGTTGCCTTCGCAACTATATGAAATAAGTACTAAAATGACTAAAAATAAACCTGAAATAACGCTAGATAGAATATTTTAAAATGATAAAAGCACAAAATTATTAAAATGAAAATATACTGAAAATATAAATATTAAAAATGAAAAAAAAATACTGTAATAATATTTAAATAATGGTAAAATAACACTGTTATTCTGAATACCTTGAAGACATGATAAATGCATGCTAAAGTAATGAAGTCTCGTGCTTTAAATTCCAGACAGTAAATTCAGGACATAATGTTATAATTAATAGTATATGGTTGATTTGCAGGAGCGATATGTGGCCAGTCTGATGCCTTTACAGAAGAGCATCTCTGCCTGGAAAGTAAGTCAGATTTCTTTTTCCCTTTGAAATGAATAGATTTTGCAACTTTTATGAATGCCCACAATGTCTTCTCTCATCTCCCAGAGTCCTCCGCAGCTGCGGCCGTTCAACCAGGAGGAGTTTATGAAAACGCTGGAGAAGGCCGGACCTCAGCTCACCTCACGACTCAAAGGAGACTGGATCGGCCTCTACAGGTACAGATTTGAATATATAGTGGAATATCATTATTTTTGCCTAACTATTTGGCAGCACAACTGATTTCAACGTTGATAATAATCAAAAGTGTTCCTTGAGCAGCAGATCAGCATATTATACTGATTTCTGAAGATCATGTGACATTGAAGACTGGAGTAATGATGCTGAAAATTCAGCTTTGCATCACAGGAATAAATTAAATTTGTAAATATATTTAAATAGATAACAGCTATTTCAAATTGTAATAATATTTCACAATATTGGTCTTTTTACTGTATTTTTGAGCGCACAAATGCAGTCTTGGTGAGCACTTTAATGTTTGCAAACTTGACTCGCTCAGGCAATTCCTGAGGTCTCCAAACTTCGACGGCTGGTTCAGGAACCGCAGGAAGGAGATGACACAGAAGCTGGAAGCTCTTCATCTGGAGGCGCTCTGTGAGGAAGACCTGCAGCTGCGGATACAGAAACACACGGAGGTGGAGACCGTCGACCTGGTGCTCAAACTCAAGGAGAAACTGGTGAGTGCTGCACTCATTCTGTCTGCTTTAAAGGAATAGTTCACCCAAAAAGGAGAATCTGCTGAATATGTGCTCACCCTCAGGTCATACAAGATGTAGATGAGTTTGTTTCTTCATCAGGTTTGGAGAAATGTAGCATTGCATCAGTGTCTCAGCAATGGATGCTCTGCAGTGAATGGGTGCCGTCAGAATCCGAGTCCAAACAGCTGATAAAAACATCACAATAATGTTAAATGGCTTCAAATCTGATGAAGAAACAAACTCATCTACATGCTGGATGGCCTTTGCTTTGACAGATCATGTGATTGGTCTGCTGGTTACTCCAGATATCCAATCTCATTGCACAATATCTAAAATATTGTTTTGAAATGCCTGAGACAAAATCTGATTTGGTATAATTACTTCCCAAAATCGTCTCACACAATTAATATTCATGCATCCAAATCCAAGATAACGTGACCGCATTTCTTTTTGCATTTCAAGAGATTTAATATGTAGGAAAAAAGTCTTGCATGCATGCCTGGTTGTTTCAACTTATTATTATGTAATAACTGATATTTTACACGGGAAGTGAAGATGTTGTTCTCTTGAAAACATGGAATGGAAACTGCACTTTGTTTGCAATATTTTATGCCATATTCCAATTTAATTCACAACTTTGGCTGGAAAAATAGCTATTTTCACATGCGATTTTCACTCAGAAATTGCTATTAAATTCCTCAAATGATTACAAAGAAACAGCAAATAGCATTGAAATAAATGTGAAATTATGTAGTAAAAAGACTGAAAATAGTATTTTCTTGTAAAATACTTCATCTTTGTTTACATTTTTATTTTACAATTTCACTCAGAAGTTGCTTGTAAATGTCACAAAGAAACTGCAAGTAACTGAATTAAACATGATTTTTGAAGTTATATTTTTGGTAAAACATGCTTCAGTCATCTTTGTTTATATAAAATGTGTAGGAAACATTTTCGCTCAAATTGCTAGTAAATTTCACAATTAATTACAAAGAAATGGTAAGTAACACACTGAATTAAACCTGAACATTTTGAAGTAGAAAGACTGAAAAGTTTATTTTCTTGTAAAATGCACACCAAAAATATTTGTTTACAGTTTCGAAAAATCTTTTTTTTACAGTGTTGGAAACAATTTCACTCAGAAATTGCTAGTAAATTTCACAAATAATTACAAAGAAAAGGCAAGTAACGCATTGAATTAAACATTAACATTTTGAAGCAGAAATACTCAAATATTATCTTTTTTTTTTAAACATGATTCAGTTTTCTTTGTCTATAAAAAAGAAAAAAATACAGTGTAGGAAACAATTTCGCTCAGATTGCTAGTCAATTTCACAATTAATTACAGAGAAAAGGCAAGTAACACATTGAATTAAACCTGACAATTTCGAGGTAGAAAGACTGAAATTTTATTTAATTTTTATTTATTTTGTAAAACAAGCTTCAGTAATCTTAGTTTACAACTTAAAAAAAACAAAAAAAAAATTAGTGTAGGAAACCGTTTCACTCAGAAATGACTAGTAAATTTCAGTTACAAAGAAAGGCAAGTCATTGAATTAAATGTGAAATTAAGTAAAAAAGACTAAAATGGTATTGTCTTAAAAACTTTACTCCAATAATCTTTGGAAGAATATTCCATAATATTTCAAAATAAAGTTGGAGATAATATATACATCCAGTTCTGATTTAGTGTCCTTTCTTCAAGTAGTTTGAACGCTGCAGTGTTTTATCGTTTGGACAGTTGATCCGAGAGCCAATCCAGTCCTTCATATAAACCTGATCCTTGAACCGCACATGTGGCCTGAACAAACCACTGAGAGAGAGAGAGAGAGAGAGAAACACAGCTTTATTTCACTGAAACACACTGACGTCATGCATCACGTGTCAAACAGAGTGTGTGTGTGTGTGTGTGTGTGTGTGTGTTCACCTGTCTTCCTCTCAGTGCGTGTAAACCCAGTCTGTCTGTCAGCTCGTGGACCGCCATGGCTTTGGGTAAATCCTGCTTGTTAGCAAGAACTAACAGAAGCGCGTCTCTCATCTCGTCCTCCGCCAGCATCGCGTTTAGTTCCTCTGCTGCTGTTTCAATCCGGTCACGATCACTGCTGTCCACCACAAAGATCAGGCCCTGAATCACACAAACACACACACTTGCACAGTTCATAAAAGTAGCTGATTAGAATTGAAATGTTAAAATAATAGATACTGAACACATAAATGTGTGACACATCATACCTTAGTGTTCTGATAGTAATGTCTCCAGAGGCGTCTGATAACATCCTGACCGCCGACGTCCCAAACGGTGAAGGAGATGTTTTTATATTCAACTGTCTCAACATTAAAGCCTAGAGAGAATCAGTCAGTCATTATCAGACACTATTCCAAGCAGTCTATATGTTGAAGTACTTCAGTTTGGCTACAGTTGACGGCAGCCATTGACCTCCGTAGTATTTTTCGGAGACAATGGCTACCGCCAACTGTTTGGTTACCAACATCCTTCAAAATATCTTAATTTATGTTCAATAGAATAAAAAACATCATACAGGTTTGGAACACCCTGAGCGTGAGTAAATGACAAAGGCGACTATCTCTTTAAATATTACTACATTTGTGTGATGTGAAGTTTCTGACCTAGAGTTGGAATAGTTGTGACAACTTCCCCGAGTTTGAGTTTGTAGAGCACTGTTGTTTTCCCTGCTGCATCCAGACCAACTTGGAGGAGAAATATGTGCATTTATTCCACAATGAATATGTACAAGATTCATAATGGTAATATTTTATAGTTGTATAGGCCTAATATGCATCTATTTGCACTAGAGCTATTTTATTTCATTTGCATTAGAGCTATGCACTAGAACTATTTTCTCAAAAACTGAATAAGAATCAAATAATAACGTGTAACGTGCACTCACCCATAAGCAACCTCATCTCTTTTTTCTCGAAGAGACGCGAGAAAAGGTTAGAGAAGAAGACGCCCATTTTTTTTTTAAAGTGCAGGTAAGCTCAGCTGTATTTAGTGAGAGTAAAGGTCCGGAGGATGAGGCTCGGGGTGTTCGTGTGATGAAGCAGTGATTGTGTGCGGGTTTATATAGGCTTCTTTACTTTCGCTTTGATTGACAGCTCGGCACCGCCACGCGCCGTTTGTCTCGCGGCAAATCCAACGCGTTCGATATGACGTCACCTACTGTACCACGTGTCTAAATCTAAGTCAAGTAAACAAGTTATTAGTTGTTGTTTTTTAAGTCAAAACGGCTGTACAAGTTAAGCGCTTTAGGTGACATACAAGACAACACTGAGAATATTATTTATGTGTATTTTATAAGTGACATTTCCAACACACGATGTTCCAAACCCTAAAATAAATGAATAAAAAGCTATCATTTTAAATAATTAACAACACTTGTTTGTTGTAAACCCCCTTCAGCAGTAGTCTATAATGTGAAGTTCAACTTCAGAGATGAATTGCATTACAAAGCCTTAAAAAACACATTGAGCATGATCCTCGATGTATTCAGCCAAGAGATTTCAAGCGTTAGATTGTAACAGGATTTGTTTAGACTAGTAATACACTTAATTCAACTCCAATTAAAACATGTGCAAAGTTTGTTTGGACACGTGATACAGTAGGTGACGTCATATCGAACGCGTTGGATTTGCCGCGAGACAAACTGAGCTTGAGCTGTCAATCAAAGCGAAAGTACCCATCACCTTTACTAATACGTTAACTAAAACTAAAGTGTTTAAAAAAAAAATCTTGCTGTATCAAAACATGGGCATCTTCTTCTCCAACCTATTCTCACGTCTCGTGAAGAAGAAAGAAATGAGGTTGTTTGTGGGTGAGTAAATGTTTTAAAAACCCAAATATATATAATTATCCTATCTAATTAAGTATTAATTAAATATTACTGTGCATATTAATTAAACTGATATGTGAACTTTAATAGGCCTACAACTTAAGAAGATATTTCAGTTATGTATCTTGTATGTTCATTGTGGAATAAATGCACATATTTCTCCTCCAAGTTGGTCTGGATGCAGCAGGGAAAACAACAGTGCTCTACAAACTCAAACTCGGGGAAGTTGTCACAACTATTCCAACTATTGGTAAGAAACTCAAAGCAATTCTCAATTTATCGAAATCGTAATAAATGTATGATGCCATGTCGAAATGCTCATAATTCTGCCATCTGTAGGTTTTAACGTGGAGACAGCTGAATATAAAAACATCTCCTTCACGGTTTGGGATGTTGGTAGTCAGAATTTAATTCTTAATGTCTCTGGAGACATTACTATCACAACACCAAGGTAACAGAGTTTTAAATATCTAAAACTTGTCTTAAAGAGGCATTTTGTGTGATTCAGGGCCTGATCTTTGTGATGGACAGCAGTGATCATGACCGGATTGAAACACAACTCAAAACTGTATATTTTATATTGTGAGGTTACATCTGAAAACATGTTTAGTTCATTTTTAGTTTTAATTCTTGTCCTATGAATGTTGAAAAATGTTGAACGACTTATTTTAATGTGTTTTGCTGTATCTGGACTTTGAAAGAATAAGCTGATGTCTGCCTGGAAAATATATACAGTGGGTACGGAAAGTATTCAGACCCCCTTAAATTTTTCACTCTTTGTTATATTGCAGCCATTTGCTAAAATCATTTAAGTTAATTTTTTTTCCTCATTAATGTACACACAGCACCCCATATTGACAGAAAAAGACAGAATTGTTGACATTTTTGCAGATTTATTAAAAAAGAAAAACTGAAATATCACATGGTCCTAAGTATTCAGACCCTTTGCTGTGACGCTCATATATTTAACTCAGGTGCTGTCCATTTCTTCTGATCATCCTTGAGATGGTTCTACACCTTCATTTGAGTCCAGCTGTGTTTCATTATACTGATTGGACTTGATTAGGAAAGCCACACACCTGTCTATATAAGACCTTACAGCTCACAGTGCATGTCAGAGCAAATGAGAATCATAAGGTCAAAGGAACTGCCTGAAGAGCGCAGAGACAGAATTGTGGCAAGGCACAAATCTGGCCAAGGTTACAAAAAAAATGCTGCTGCACTTAAGGTTCCTCTGAAAACATGTTTAGTTCATTTTTAGTTTTAATTCTTGTCCTATGAACTCTGAAAGAAAAAAAATGTTGAACGACTTATTTTAATGTGTTTTGCTGTATCTGGACTTTGAAAGAATAAGCTGATGTCTGCCTGGAAAATATATACATATATATGTGTGTGTGTGTGTGTGTGTGTGTGTCCTACCTATTCCAACATCTCCAATAAATGGTGTATTTATTTTCAAACATTAGTATTCTTATGTCTCATTCAAAAAAAATAAATTACAGAATAGAAAAATGCATGAGAAATAGAGTATGTTTTGCACAGTTATAATAGATAGATTGATGTAAGATGCATATTTAATGCATGCATAAATAAATAACAATAGAACTGCTGAATCAGATTGTAAACATAGTCATAATGTTATGTTTTTTTTTTTATAATTTATGAATAAAAACAGATCCAATAAATTATGAATTTATACAAAAAATGTAGTAGCCTACGTTTATGTTTCACTTTCAATAACTAATCATATTTGCAGAATGAATGACATTTTTGGAAAATACTAACTATTAATTTGCCGTTTAGCTAAAGTTTTTAGCTGATGCCATCTTCAAAAGTAAAACATGTTAGTGAAAACTGTAAGTAACCATATAGGCCTATGGCAACAATTATATTATAAAAGACATTACATATAAGTGTACTGTAAAATATGCTACAAATGCTTTTTAAAAGTAAAACCTAGCCTATAATTTATGGAAAATGTTATGGTAAAATATTGTAAGACAACAATAGTATCTAATTGTCGCTATGAGTACTGTGCACTGGATTGTTTTACGCTGTGTTGTGTTGTTTGGTTAATGTTTAGTATTATTTTATTGTCATATGTGTTACCCTGATTGCTAATGTTTGCTGTGAGACTGGCTCTTATGTTATTGTGGTTTATAGCCCATTATAATGCACTTTAAGACATCACACGCTCGTCCATTGCATCTGATGTGTTATTTTAGGTACATATTACAGTAAAAAATATAATCCCTCAAATAGATTGGAATATTAACATTATCACAGTGTTTTAGGGTAAATGTCTGGCAACCACAGCTGCTAGGTTAGGCTATCTGATTATTTTTTAACAAAACATTTTCACGGTTTATGTACTCCCTGCTCACATTTCCCAAACATGTGTTTAGTTCAATGTTAATCCAATGAAATCGAAGACTTCCAACTTCAAAGTGTAAAAAAAGAAGAAGTTTGTTTAGACACGTGATACAGTAGGTGACGTCAAATCGAACGCGTTGGATTTGCCGCGAGAAAATCTCAGAGTGGCGGTGTTGAGCTGTCAATCAAACCGAAAGTAAAGAAGCCTATATAAACACACACACACACACACACACACACACACACCATAACCAGTCTGAGCCTTTAACTCTAGGCGTTTATCTTCAGCAACAGCGGTTCTGTCTTATTGCAAACATGGGCAACTATTTCTCACAGATTTTCTCTCGTCTCTTTTCGAAAAAGCAGATTAGGTTGCTTATGGGTGAGTAAATATTTTTTTCTCCAAACTTTGAATTTGAAAGATCTTATAGTTTGGCGACTGTTTATGCCACTTTATTGCTTAAATTGTTATTATGTGCTTAAATAATTTTAATGCCCATAAAGTAAAATTAGCATATTAACCCATATGTGAATATTTTTATTGTGGAATAAATGCAAATATTTCTCCTCCAAGTTGGTCTGGATGCAGCAGGGAAAACAACAGTGCTCTACAAACTCAAACTTGGTGAAGTTGTCACAACTATTCCAACTATTGGTAAGAAACTTTTAGATGTTTGTCATGTTTAACTGCCTTATATGGATTTATTGTCTGTTTTTATTGAATATTATCAATTTTCTCTTTAGGTTTTAATGTTGAAACAGTTGAATATAAAAACATCTCCTTCACTGTGTGGGATGTTGGCGGTCAGACCAAAATCAGAGGTCTTTGGAAATATTATTATCAATACACCGAGGTAAGAATTTGATACAAACACGACTGTATGCAGTATGATTTTGCAGTTATATTATATTTGAAAATGCCATTTTAATGGAGTGAACAAAATGTGTGTGTTTGTGTGATTCAGGGCCTGATCTTTGTGGTGGACAGCAGTGATCGTGACCGGATTGAAACAGCAGCAGAGGAACTAAACGCGATGCTGGCGGAGGACGAGATGAGAGACGCGCTTCTGTTAGTTCTTGCTAACAAGCAGGATTTACCCAAAGCCATGGCGGTCCACGAGCTGACAGACAGACTGGGTTTACACGCACTGAGAGGAAGACAGGTGAACACACACACACACACACACACACACACACTCTGTTTGACACGTGATGCATGACGTCAGTGTGTTTCAGTGAAATAAAGCTGTGTTTCTCTCTCTCTCTCTCTCTCTCAGTGGTTTGTTCAGGCCACATGTGCGGTTCAAGGATCAGGTTTATATGAAGGACTGGATTGGCTCTCGGATCAACTGTCCAAACGATAAAACACTGCAGCGTTCAAACTACTTGAAGAAAGGACACTAAATCAGAACTGAATGTAGTCTATATATTATATGTCTCCAACTTAATTTTTTTATATTGAGATATTTATGGGATATTATTACAGTATATTTTCTAGTATATATAATTCTAGTTCAGTACATTCTGTATTGTTAATTTACCACTATCAAGACATTTTTAAACAATTTTAGGCCTATTTTTGATTCTGATGTACGTTTGCCTTCATTATGTGCCTTTTTAAATTCACTTAGATTGTACGTGAATTTATAAATTCTGCACTACTGCACTGTGTAGTACTGTACTGTGTACTGTGTACTATTATTTTATTATTTTATTTATCTGCTGCTCTATTTAATGTACTGTTAATTTACCGCTGTAAAAGACATGCTGTTATATGTCACGTTTGACTTATTTTAATACATGTTTTGTTGTATTTGGACTTTGAAAGAACAAACTGATGTCTACCTGAAATATATGTATCTGTGCCTTTCAAATATCTCCAATAAATTATGCTTATTTATTTACATTAGTGTGCTTATGTGTCATTTAATAAATAAATATTACAGAATAGAAAAAAGCGTGCGAAATAGAGTGTTTTGCACAATTATGATAGATAGATAGATAGATAGATAGATAGATAGATAGATAGATAGATAGATAGATGTAAGATGTAGATGTAGATGTAATGGAATAATACAGTTTTTCTCAATTGATTTGGCTCAATTCTCAAATTATTTTTTTTCCCCCGAAACAATAAGTTCAGATCTCTGAACAATTAGTTTCTTGTTCACATCAGATTGGAATTTCTTATTGATTTGAGCAAATTGCAAATGCTTTGGCACATGTGTGCAAACAGTAAGTACAATTGTCTGCAGTTTGCACAATAACTAATTGCATATGGATTGTTGATCAAAACTGATGAGTCGATTCTCACTTAAACTGTCAAACTCTTCACAACTTCTCAATCATTTTTCATCGTGTAAGCCATCACATTCAAAACGATCCATTCAATTATGAAAAATTGGTATACACGCATATATATTCCATAAATATCTGACATTGACATTGTTCGGAATGTCTGCTAAATTGGCAAATGACCTCTAATGGCAATACAATTTGAATCAACCATTTAACCAATCAAGTTTGGGAGCATATATATGTAGATTGCCCACAGCACAATCACTAAGAATGGAGGACTTCCACAACTCTGAACTGCAGCAACATGCTCGTGGAAGAGCAATTGGAAGACGTGTAAGAATACGTGGTGGTGGTGTTAGAGGAAGACATAATAGAGGAAGAGGTGGAAATAGAAGAGTCAGAGTCTCTGATGAAATCAGAGCCACACTTGTGGATCATGTCATAACTCGTGGTTTTACAACGGAAGAGGCTGGTCGAAGAGCACAGCCTAATGTAAACCGGTCCACAGTGTCAACAATTGTGCAAACCTTTCGTAGGGAAAACAGATAAATATGTATTTTTTTGTTATTGTTTTACAGTATGTAAAGCATTTTTATAAACAACAATATTGTAAAGGTAAATGCAAGTCTATTTGTACATTCTATAGAACCCTACAAAAACCTCACGCTGGTGACAGAGCAGCAGTATTTAACCATCAGCAAGAACAAGAAATTTGCAACATGGTCATAGCCAACAATTCCATCAGGCTAAGAGAGATCCAAAGTGCAATCATAAATGACAATAATGTCTTCGCAAATATAAATTCTGTCAGAATGTCCACCATAGACAGAGTTTTGAAAAGACATCAAATGACTATGAAACAACTCTACAAGGTGCCATATGAGAGGAATAGTGAAAGAGTGAAGGAGCTGCGGTACCAGTATGTCCAGGTAAACTATTGGTGTGCACTAAGTGAGTTTTACTGTACTTCTTAGATGCCTGTATTACTTGAAGTTTTAGAAACCCATAAGAAGAGAAAACATTTACTGAACTCTAGAATAAAAATTTACTGTTTGCCTAATTATGTTGTTGTCTGGGTTAATGTCAGCTTCCACCGAACCAACATTGTTAGGGACTGGTTTGCTGCACATGAAAGGATAACAGTGGAGTTCCTTCCACCATACTCTCCATTCCTAAATTCAATAGAAGAGTTTTTTTCAGCAAGGAGTTGGAAAGTATATGATCATAGACCACAAGATCAGATGTCTCTGTTGGATGCCATGAATGCTGCATGTGAGGACATCACAGCTGATCATTGCAGGGGATGGGTGCGGCATTCAAGGAGATTTTTTCCCCCGGTGCATGGCAATGGAAAACATCAGATGTGATGTTGAGGAAAATATTTGGCCTGACCAACAAGAGCGACAGGATGTCCACCAAGAATAATTTTTTTCATGGATGTTATTTGGTATTTTTGTGTATAAATTCATGGATTCATTCCATGAATTGGACAAGTAAGATTTTGCTTTACATGTAATACATTCGTACAAAAATAAATGTACTGTATAAATACAAATGTTTATATACTTTTTTTTCTATGTACTATTGACTCTTCTCAACAACTATCAGATCATTTTTTTTATAAAACCTTAATTTCCACTGACTGTCATGGTGAAAAAACAACTAATCATTTTGACCAGTGTGGCTCACACGATGACAAAAATACTTTATATTTTGGTGGCCTTGGCCAAATTACTGACACGATAACTAGGTTTTGAAGCATGAATGAAATGTTTTGGGTGAGTAACTACATTTTGCAGACATGCAATACAGTTCTGAAGTTCCAGCAAACAGTTGTGACATTTGCACTCACAGTTTAGAGAATGTTAAGATTGTTTCGAAAAATGTGCCAAAGCAATTGAGAAAAACTGTAACAGAATTGCTGAATCAGAATGTAAACATAGTCATATTATTGATCAAGAAAGACAGGCAGACAGATAGATAGATAGATAGATAGATAGATAGA